ATCGACCTCCCTCTCATCGTCATCCCGCTTATTTTGGCAAAGTAAAAACTAAGCGAGGCGCGAGAAAGAGGAAAGATGGTAGAAATGCGATCAAAGAAAGATTGAAAAAAAATATATAGTACAGATGCCTATATCGATTATCTTGATACATACTCGGAGCATTTTGTGCTAGCTAGGACGTGTATTTTCGAATGACATATAAATATAATCTTAAATTGCATTCTTCCGAAGCCTACAAGTCTTCTCTTCTTCATATTTCTCCACTCTGATCCTGCTAACATATCCATGGTCTCACGCCATGGACCTACTTTAAGTCACATTAACCCACGAAGAAGAGGAGTCTCTCCGGTATCAATTGGAATTAAATACAAAATGAAGGAAGTATAGAATGAAAGAAACTTGTAGGCAACCTGGACGATGGAAAAAGTATATGTAGATCCTCTGTGATTTACCGCACCATTTCGCCCGACCACCCGCCTACTATTATTACGACCTAGAGTGTTGTGCGACTTAAATTACCATTGCACATGCAGAAGTATGGCCGTATGCGTCGTAGTGACGTTGATTCGAGACGCCTAATCGAGAAATTCTGGTCAACTGTGAGATTCCTCGATGATCGTCTGCCAGTGTGCAATTCATGGAACGAAATTCTAGGGCTCTTAAAATGAGTTACTCAATATTTCTCCTCGTTTATTCAAATAACCAGAAGTGCTTCGGCCGCTCCAGATACTTCAACTCAACGAGGCCATATAGGCAGTAGTTTCGATAGGTATACGATGCGTCGCGTGTACCTCTCAAGGATGAAGATTCGGTGTCGGCGGATGCGATTACAAGGTCCATTAGCGACAACTGATGACTCATGTCGTACAACTTTGGCTTGATTAATTCATTGTACTAAGTAGCACAATGTAGAACGCAAAGAATCTAGATACTAAGTCGCTTACGGTAAACTGTAATTATTTTCGTTCCTTTACGCAGCTTTCCTAAATACAATGGTGAATATAAGGAATTATCTTGCCGTCTGATCGCTTAATTTTAGTCGGAAGTTGCGATTTATAGCGATCGCTCTGAACCTATAGATAGAGACAAAACTATACAAAGGACATCTCGTCTATGAGCGTTCTTAACATACAGAAAGCATTTAATTGTTGCAGATGATATTGCTCCACCTTCGAAAATTCATTGGCAGATGATAAACGTGAGATATCATTCCTGGAACGAGGTCGCTCACCTATTTATAACTGGGTCGAGAGTTGGGCAATCATTTTGGTATCTTTCTCTCTCTTTCTCTCTCTTTCTCTCTCGCCTCCCTCTCCTCTATCTCTGTCTCTCTCTTTCTCTTTTTCTTATTCTTTCTCACAGTAACCATGTTCTCGATCCCGACTTCTCTCGGGGATCAAGATCCCCCCTGTACCCAAGAATGAATGTCGCCTTGAGCGAAATCACACACCTGACGCAGCCTGTAACCCGGCGGGTTCTTTAAAACAAGCTTCAAGTAAAACGAACAAAATATTCAACAGAAAATCACGCCTATATCTTTTAAATAAAAGCAAACGTTTCTTATATCCTCGATACATAACTGGATCGAAAAATAACCGATGTCCTCATTAATAATTCGTTTATTTGGCAAAATATATGAGTAAATGAATAAATTAATTAGTGTTTATACTCTTGTTATACTAGTATTATACTATTATATTTATGACACTGAAAACTGTTGCTTATAATGGAGTTATGTTAATATATTTTTATCAGCACGTTTTTCATCTTTAGATCGCATTAAAACAAGGAAATTGACTGAAAGTAGAGAAGTCTTTATTAAAGCTTCCTCAGAACACATGTTACAGGGGAGACAGAGAGATCAATGCTGGGCGAGCACGAAGAGAGCGTTGAGAACAAGTGATGAGAGAAACCGGGCTCGAATATCGCAACGCTTCTGCGATACTAATTAGTCAGCCGCCGAAAGCAATTAAGCACGAGAACAGCAATTAGATTGCGTTGTAGCAGATATATCCATTCTGTACGACTACGTGACCCTGGCCGTAAGTCGTTGAAAGTCACGGGAAAGGTAACGGTCGTCTAGCAATTGTTTCGAAATCGTGGTGCTCGGTTAAGTTCAAGTTGTATGCACCAACCAGAATCTTATCCAATGCATAATGCCTATGCATGAGCCATTGAATTCAGACGTAACACCAATATCTTATACATACTATGTATCAAGATTTCAGACTGTCTGATCTGCCAAGTAAAAGTGCTTTTCACGGATATCTTACGTGAGAATATGTCAAATTAAATATATAATAATAAAAGATCGGAAAGTAGATAAAGCGTGCGACGAATTTCAACTCGCAAATTTGGAAGATTGAATAATTTTATTTATAAATAAGTAGAATATATGAATAATATATGAACAAAATATATGAATAATATATGAACAAAGACTTTATTATATTTTTGACATTATAAATAAGTAGAGTATAACTAGGAACGTAATGATTCAAAATTTTTAATTGCTAAATGTCTCGCCATTGTTAGTGAAGAGAAATGTTTGAATTGCTAAGTAAAATGATAAAAAGATCATTCTATGCCAATTGACAACACGATGATATGCATACCTAATAATGACCTAGCAAATCGACCTATCACTAGGAAATCTAGTAACCCAGTGACGCATGAGAAACTCTCGAAACTAATCGTGACGTGAGAATCATACTTGGATTTAGATGCCAGTAAAGACGCTATCGACATGGAACTTTACGACTCTCTAATAATAAGACGATGAACGCTTGGCGCTATCAACACGGAGAAATTACGCTTTTGTGAGCTCAAAGAACGATTTTATTCATCCGCCTGCTCAACGCGGGCCACAATGCTACGTTTCATAAAATTTTTTGTTCACTCCATGCACATCGCTCCGCATTACATGGTACAGAAGAAATACTATAATATTTTCTATTTTCAAAATATTACAAATAATACTATATTTGCGATGTATGATACTTTATGATACTTTAAATAAAAAATTAAGTAAAATTCTAAGTGATTATCTGAAACAAATAAATTACTAATTATATAAAAATGCAAGTATAAATATACATTAAAATAAATTTATATTACTATACCAACAAGCAAGAATATCCTATGAATTAAGTAATTTAAATTTAAAAGAATATCTTTTATTGCAATGTATAAATAATATAGGGGATTAAGTACATAGTATACATACCTTGAATATAAATTACAAAAAATGTAAAGCAATAAATAGCTTGAAATTGTTAGGAAAAAAGATTTGTTCCAATCTCAGTGGTATTGATATAACGTTGCACTCGGTTATATTATGAACGAAAGTAACTCCTCTTCCTCTCGAAGCAATTCCGCGTCTTTTTCCCTGTTGTTCCTCCCGCAGTCACGTCGTCGTAGTCGTTGTGTTACAGAGGAGTGTAATGATGCATGACAATCGCTTTTTTTGCACTGACGCATTGCCTCCTCTTCGCGCCATTCTTATATCTCATACTATGTTTCATACAAATAATATGTTTCTTGTCATATTTCATTCACTTGCAAATCTAATATATTTTCTATTTAGCTACATGCTTTTTGCTTAAAGCAAATTATTTACGGGCTATTATCGCGATGAAGTCGTCTATACGCTGCACTGGTTAAAAGAATCACAGGTTTTACTTTACTCCCAAAACTTACTATCAATTGCTTTCCTTTCTTTTTCGATGACAATCATATTTTTTCAGTATATGTAAGTATTAATTATCAATGTCCACATTGTCGTAATCCAATGAACGTCGTTCTAGAAAATACGACGTTATACATACCTGGACATCTATAATGTATTGTCGAAGTAAAATAATTCTTTTTATTGCATCAAGTGAGGTTTTAGCGTAGTGCGAGAAAGAAACGCGCTATTTTGCCTCAACCTCCTTTCCAGCTAGTTATTTTTCTTCTATGTGGGACTTAAGGACATCCGTTTCGAGAGATTTAGTTGTATGCCTATCCTCTCGACCCGATTAGGAATGACGTACGCGTGCCGCGACCTCTTCTCGACCTCTGGCCATCACGGACCGAGAAAACAATCGACTCTGCCCGGATGCACCTGAGACATGCACTTTCCCCTACAACCGTCCGAGAATGCCGAGAGTCAGCCAGCATTTCCATCTCATCGGCTCAGTTTCGAGCAGCCGCTGGCCGGATGACTCGTCAAGGAAGCAGAACACTCGCGATGTATTAACGATTTCGAATGTGCTCTTTATGCAACGCGGCCGCGGCGCAGTTTCGCTCGTGAGAAAAAAAAAAGAATGTTTCGGACCTTCCTGGAAGACTGGAAAGTTGCCGCTGCTGTCGCGATGATTTCTCTTTTTTGAAGCTTCTCTCTACCGGCTTATGAACGATTTTCGTATTCAGCATTAAAAATAAAAATACAAAAAGGTCCTCTTAAAAAGGTCCTAACCTCTTAAAATTAGTGGAGTTGACGAATCAAAATTGATTATCATTTTAAGATTGAAGTACTTTCACTATTATGTTACAGAAATATCTCACAGAAAAGAAAAACAAAATATTTATTTTAAATATAAATATAAAAAACGCGCGTAAATGGAAAAAAATCAATAAATACACATTCGAATTTTTTAAATACTATTAATGAATTACATATTACAAATTTGTAGCATATATTTAATACGTTGCATATATATTGTATTGGACTAGATGTAAATATTGAATTACGAATCATTACAGAAACGTTTGTGAGCACGCTAAAACTTATGCAGAAATGCCAAGTCGTAATACATACATAATATCGTATATTTCGTAATTAGTAAATTATATCTTCACACCAATCATACATATTATGACTAGCTTTTCAGTTTGATTATTTATTCATATTTTTCAGATCTATTTTTCACATACGTACGCGGACGAAGTATTGTTATATATTTAATGTACATCACGGAAGGGCCAGAGGCGCCCTATTTACTATTTAATTAATAAAATAAATAAAAATAAATATCTCCATGATTATATGAATGAAAATCAACGTGAGGCTTAAAAATCATCTGACTTCCACCGACATCCCGTTCTTTCCACTAGCCGTTGATTAATAAAAAAAAAGAAATAGAAGAAGAAAGTATCAACGATCACTAGTGATGATATCCATTATATGCTTGGTTTTGCGCGTAATGAGAATCTTCCCAACCGGAAGAACCACCATTGCTCCATCCACCAGGTACGGAATTGGACCATCCACTGTTAACGGGACTTGGCCATCCACCGCTAACAGGACTTGAAAATCCACCACTCCAGCCACCATTGTAAGGAGTGACGTCGTGGTGGTTGTTTTTGCCTGACCAGAATGTTTTCATACCGACGAAGGCAGAGATGATGAGGGAAATGATGGACGCTTGGATCGCCCTTTTCGCTAAGAATCCGGTGACAAAGTATAAGAGAACTCCCAAAATACCAAACTTTATTTTCGCGGCAACCAGGAGGGGTAAGATTCCTTTTAGAGATCCTTTTTTCTTCTTGCCTCGCGCTAGAATGTTAGAAGAGATTTATTAAATTAAGACCAATCAAATTAAGTTATTCTTTTAAATGATTGTAAGACACGTAATGTCAATTTAATTTTGTCGTAACACAAATAGAGATAAAATTAGTGTGTGAAAATTATTAGAAATAATTTATTAATTCTAATGCTACCTTCAACAATCTCGTTGACAGCTTGACGAATTTCTGGTGGAGCAGATTCACTAAAGGTACGAACCGATTCTTGGATTTTCTCAAAAGCAGGTGCAAGATTGATCTGAAAAAAATTGGTGGTTTGTATTCAACCACGCCGTGTTTCTGAATATAAGATGCTAAGAGAGATAAAAAAGTATATAGATCATTAAAGTGACATTAAACCGTTACACTAAGGTACATTTCGTATTTCCCGAGTGACCCCTATGTATCATTTTATCCTTGTTTAATATTCGATAAACAACAACAATTATATAATAGTTTTAATAATTTTTTAAGTACCCTAAGATTGCGACCGGTCAAAAATTGCCCAGCTTCATCACTAATGAAGTTTTCGAGAGAATTTTGTCTTTCCACGATATTATTAGTGGCCTCCATCTCTTGATCATAAGTAAGTTCCTTGATAGATCTGGCATTGACATTACTCTTCACGAGACTGACTCCGTTTATAAGCTCTAATTTATCCTTGGCAAAGAATTCTTTGGCGGTCCTATATAGAGTCTTCTGCACGCAGGATATGCTGTCTTGCTTCAGGCACTCGTCGATACTCTGACCGGTGGTAAAAACGACCGCAGTTATTAAAATTAAGAATTTCTTCATTATTTTCATGACTTCTTGCGAATTCCACGAGGCGTGTGATAAAAGCACCTGATTGCAGCACGCGTTTACAGGAGATATAAGAAATTCGTAAATACCGATGGATCTAAACTTCACCGAACCTCGTTGTGTGCAGTCAAATTTCGTGTGGTCCATGAGACAATCCGTTAGCTTATATTTGGCGGGCCCCTCCTTTACGGTTTCCATCACAGACTGCCCCACCGACTTCTTTTTTTTTTTCTTATTTTGCATGCATGAATACGTGTTCATCCAATAGACGAAGTGTACTTATGACAGAGGTTTGGCTAAGCCACCTATTACGACCTGCGACCTACCTACGACAAAACAAATAGAGGCCGGGCATATAGATGTTACAAGGGGCAACGCCTTGAGCGCTAGTAAAATCGCTTTCTTTCAACAACGATCTTCTCAAGTATACCGGACTAACTTTACATTGCATTAGGATATGCAATTTTTAGTTGAATGTATTGGATGTAGAATATTAAGAATTCCGACCAAATGCGAATATAATATATAATAAAATGTAAAAACAGACTACACAATTTTGCAATATCACATTACTAATAAAATTACTTCAATATTATGATTATATAAAAAATTATATGCATGAAATATAAAATATTTCTATTTTTATACATATAGGCATCTATATAGTACTTATTCTTTTAACTTTATTTGTTACTTAATTTTTAATCTTTAATTCGGTTGAATTAAATTTTGTAAATAATATGAGTTTAACATTATTCGCATTTCATATAAGAAATATTTTAATATATAATAATATAAAATAACTTAATATTTTCAATAATATTTGTTTTTGACTTTAGTAAATTTTTTAATTTGATGAAACATATTTATGATAATTACTTTAAATAATGTTAATATTTAATTCATGCACATATTGTGTAAAAAACGGTAAATTATTAATTTTTAAAGGTAAACTTATGTTCGCTCGAATTCAATGATGTATATTTCTAGTTTGTCCTAATTATTTTACGTATTTACATATTTAAAATTGGAGAACGGATGAGACCTGAATTTCAAGAATGTGTTAAATCTTATGTAAATAAACTCTAGAGAAAGCTCTTTCAACAATCTCTTAAACTCCAGCTTTAATTCTAATTAGCTTCGGTAAAAATGTCTGATCTATTCTAATTTATATTAACATTGCCTCGGTTTATTATTATCTTCAATACAAGAACAATAAAAAATTTAATAAGAAATGATAGCTACACGTACCTGTTTATTTAAACTACGGATATATTTCAATTGAGCATATATAAAGTGTAGTATATGAATTACGAAGATATTGAAAAATTTAATTGCCTAGTCCGTCTAGCCATAATGCATTTATTATAATTTCTGCAAACAGCAACAAGTTATGTTAAATAAGCTTATATAACAGTCTATTGCATTGTACTTTCTAATAAGGAAAAAAGAAAAATGATAGTAAATAATAGACGAATAACGTAATCTTTACGTCTGATTAAATCCTATACTTTTACTACTGAAAACTTCATTTGTAAAATTAGTACATACATTCGAGCTATACGAGACTCGAATAAACTCGTTTAAGCAAATTGTAATATAGCTAGCGATACTTAAGTAGCCAATTAGCTTTTTAGCGATGAACTATCATTGCAATTCAAGGGAAAGAGTCTCGCAATACTCTCTTTTAGGACATAAATCCTTCTGTGTGAGTCGTTCGGCGTTTAAGGAGCAGATACGGGACATGATCGATATGAATGAAAGAAAACTGGTATAGATCAGGTTCAAACATCCCGGATCCGACCTTCATTGCGGCGCACGCGGACACCACTTTCTAGTGTGACCCTGCAATTCTCACGGGCCAACGGATAACGCTTCTTGTCATTTTCATTTCGTTTCTTCTTACCGGAAGTGTAAAGCAGTACAATGCGACAATCAAGAAAATCTTCATATTCAATAAGCGTATACGTGCGGCGTAGGTTTAAATTCCGAGAAAGTAAAACCAATGGTCTGTATAGGACTAGATCTATAAGACTGTAAGGCTATCAATGCGAGGACGCATACTTCCATACTTATCAAAATTTCCAATTTGCGGAAATATAATTAAAAATATATGTAAGATACAAAAATGTTTATTTACACCTTGGAAAGACAGCAACATATTTAAAACAGGAATTAGACTTTTTTACTTAGAAAGTATTATATTAGACGTTTTCTATAGAAAGTGCGTTCTCTCTCCTCTCTGTTTCTCTCTCTCTCTCTCTCTCTCTCTCTCTCTCTCTCTCTCTCTCTCTCTCTCTCTCTATTCTACTTTTTTTATCTTTAAATCAGTTAAAGACATGTGACTTAGAACTGAGATGAGAAACGCGTTCCACATATTTTTATAGTAAACGACCTAATATTATGGAAAAGATAAACATCATCCGATTATAAATTTGCAAGACTTTCTAACATTGATTTTTTATCTTTTAACGTTACACATTACAATCATTACTTTCCTTTATCATTTATATGTTCAATAAAATGAGATTATAAGGTGGAAGAGAGGAAGTGAAAAAATTGCATTCATATTGTACATTTTACGTCCATTCTCTACCATTACTAAAGACCGCACGAGTCTCTTTATTAATTTATGTACATAATCACTACGGAGTGAAGAAGGAGCACTCTCGTCTTGAATTCGGTCAACAAATTCTCTCGTCATAAGAAGGGATTCAATGAAAAGCAAGTGTAACAACAACACAGTTCCCATTCCCGATCTTACGTCAATGCTCATTCATCCTTTCTCGGTCATTGGGTAGCACTCAGAATCCTTTCGTCAATCCTTCACTCCCAACAGAAGAGCAGCCTTAAAAAGTAAAACCAAAGTTTCTCCTGTACATACAACGACAGCAATGATCGTTAAACCACAGACACGCCCATCGCGGTAAAATCACTATCCTTTACGCGGGAATACAACGTTGTAGATGCGATGTATGATTTCGTTCAGTGAAATGCAGATTGAAAACGGATATTTCAATTAAACAGATTACAATAACTCTCGCTCTTATCACGCAAATTTATTAAAGTGATTATTATTGAAAAAATTTACTTGATTAACTTCTTTTTGAAATATTAAAGTATCAAAAAAATATGTTAAAGGCATATTGAATATGTAAGAGATAGAATTGGTATATAATTTCTTCTATTAAAATCAATAATTTATACATATTATTTTATTAAAAAGATGACCCGGGAAAACTTATATTCAAATTTATCGGTTCTTCCAATTTTCTCTCAATTCCATTTTTACAGCAATAAATAATATTTGTTTTATGTTAGAACAATTGTTAATTATAATTTTACAATTATAATCAAAATTAAAATTAATTCTTTAATTTTTATAGTTTTTCTTGATAAAGTCTTATGTGAGGAAAAGTTTAACTCCACATTTTTTAATTACTTTTTCATAAAGAATTACCCTCTTTTCGAATGCATTACCAGTTTATATGTAAATGTCTACATATTAAGGTCACCGACTTTTGGAGGTCATGGTATTTTTCCAGATCAATATGCCAATGAAACAAAATGTTCCCACGGTATCTAAAGAATCGCTCAAAAAGCGTATCGATTTAGGACAGCAAGGTCCATAAAAGCGTATCTAGCAATCGTGTTGCGTTTCCTGTCCTAAATCGGAAAGAACCGGTGGTCTTCGATATTCTAGCCTTCGAACTTGTCAGTAACTGGTTTAATGTCTGTCAATCGATTGTGCTAGGAATTTCTGATGCAATGTTCAATCAATTCCATTGGCCATCGACATGCGTACGACCTGAAAAATCAACCGGTAGCCAACCAGATCAAATTTGAATTTTAAATTTCTTTACGAAGTTTGTAATGAGTGTGGAATGTAACGGGAAACTCTTCCGCGCCCAACTGGTTCTTCTCGTCTATGGACCATAACGCGGTTGCTGTGCCAGAAACTGTGTCGATAATTCTTTCCATGTTGAGCATTATAAGCAATAGATCACAAATCATAATATTATTAGACTATTTTAATTAATAATGAACATTAAAAACCATTTAAGTCATATTTCTATTATAGTTCAGAATAATTAATAAAGGTACAACAGAAGAGTTGAACAAAATAAATGATAATCCGAATGACAATAGATATATTGCCCATTCATTCCTTTGTAGAGAGTTGTAAAAGTTATTTAGAAGGATCAAAGGAAAGAAAATAAATCGTTCATTTTCATTAATCACTGCGTTGGCAGTAATTGCAATTGATTACTGCTTTCAATCTTATTAAATATAATGAACCCGATTTGATCGTAATTAGTGAGTATAACGCGCCACCTCCATTCTTTCTAGTCACTGGAAAAGTAGTGCAATGGATATAGGTAGAAAATTAAGCATAAAAATGTACAGTAAAATGGTGAATTTCGTAAAAAATTTAATTTGAATAATCAAATAATGAGAAATTCTGAATCAATTGATCCGACATTCCACATTATAACGATCACAGACTGTAGACGCTGAGAAGCGATCGGTTCTGTTCGGGACTGCATCGCCGTCTGAGCTGCTTTCAGTGCGAATCTCCACGTTTTATGATATTCGAAACGTAAAAAAGGAAACGATTGGTATGTATGCCAGTGGGTCTTAGCCGGAGCTCTTCCTTCCCCTACCACGCCACGTGGAGAAAGAAGGAGCCGAGCCGAGGACTGCAGTGGGAGGAATCCAATACAGACAGAGAAGACGCGCTGCATAGAGAGATGCGTAAAGAGAAAGAGGATCCGTGTTCCTCTTACACCACTCGATCAAGCCTTTCTTCCATCACGCCTCTCCTCTACCTCTTTCTCCTTCGCTTTTTTTCCTTCCATCGAGCTCTCCAATCCGCTTTGGGCATGGATCCACGTGCACGCGCGCAAGGGAATGCCGCGAATAAAAACAACCACCGGCATTTGTGTCTACAGACGCGTTCTCGTAATTTATCTTTGAGTCTGAAAGACTCAAATTGGCTTTCTCAAGATTCACATGAAATTCCTCGTACAAATTGCTGCAGAATCCCGCTACATTCCACGACACATGAAACGACTCTAAATTTCATGAATTCGCGATCTTGAATAAGCAAATATATGA